GGCAGGCAGAGTAGATGGTTGCTTGCCTCTGATAGCAGCTGGGTTAGTTAGGCAGAGGTCATTCAAAGTGACAATATGATTTCTTTTCTATGATATGGCTTCCCTGATATCAACCCTGTGTTGAGCCAGTATCACTTCTGCATAAAGGCACATTGAATGTCCCCAACTGTCTCCTATCTTGTCCCCAAATATCTCCCTCACATGAGCCACAATTCTGGATTGAGACTGGCCTGCAGGCGGTTCTGCTCTGAAGGATGCCTCCTACAGAGATGGATTTTGGCGGCCGTGGTTTTAAATCTTACCTCCATCACGTCACCATCCATCCCTATACAATGGGAATAATAAGAATTATCTCATAAATAGGATAACGTTTGTAAACCACCTGGCATCCAGTAGCTGTTCAATAAACGTTAATTTTGTTTTATTCAATATCTTTCACTTGCATCATCTCATTTGATCTTCACAGAACCCTGCTAGACAGGCAGCACAAATATTGTAACCCCTCTTTTACAGATGACTAACCTGGTGTTCTGAAACTTGCTCAGTCGTAGTAGTAACTCCTATCTGTGCCAACTACTTGTCAGGCATTGTCCTCACATCACCTCTATGAAGTAGGTACTAAAAGTCCCATTTTGCAGATGGGGAAAATGAAGGCAGAGAAAGGCTGAATAACTTGCCCAAGGACAAAGAGCTAGCAAATAGAAGAGTTTGGATTCAAACCCAGATAGCGTGCCTCCAAAAGCAGTGCTCTTCACCAGTACACTTAAGTGCCTCCATTTCCCTCAGCTTTTAAGTGGTGGATTTGCCTCACATGTGTGAGTCCAGGTGGAAGGCACTTCGCACCCAGAGAAGGAATGCATCAGGCCGGGGAAACCAAGTCCCGCTGAAGGAGACAGCACTAGGTTATCAGATCTAGCTACTTCAGGGAGAGACTAATGGAAGCGGATGATGTTCAGTACCCTGGGGGACGAGGCACAGAATACGAGCAGAGTGCCAGCCCAGAGGGGGCACACAGAGCACGGGAGCCCTGGAAACACCCTGGGAAAATGTGTCCCCCTTCACTTGGCACTTTGGAGCCTCGGTTCTGGGGTAGAGGATTACTGTTGACATCGCCCCCTGGAAGTCGGCAGCACCTGTTCGCTATCTTCCTATGCTTAGCGCTCTACTTTGTATTACACTCATCAACGCATACTTCTGATCTGCTCCTGAGGGCGAGACCAGGTTTTACTCATTTTTATATCCCCCAAGTGGAGCATCCAGTAGGTGCTTAATAAGTGTGAGTTGGATGAATAAATGTAGACAAATGAACATGCTAAGCCCCGAAGGGATTTGGAGCTTACTTAAACTATGTTTTCTTTTGTTGCACCACAATGAGCTACATCCTGTTTTTAAGCTTTTTTTTCTGATAGCAAAAACAGGCGAATGAAGGTTCTTTGGGGGAAAACAGGCCAGTATTTTCAACTGTTCTTTTAGGGTAATTCTTTTCCCTTCTACCCGTTTTCATGTGTTTATTTTTGTACTTGTACCCATTTAAAGCCACAAACAGTATAGTTTTTAAAAATGGAACGTGTAATTTAATAATAGCTATCCCCCCACACCTATTAAAATGTTTACTAATGCATAAAGCCTACAGATATCAAGCCACAGTGGATTCTAATGGCTTCTGTGTAAGTGGAGGAAGTGGCTGCCAGGTTCGTCCCCATCTGAGATTAGTTGGGTATTGAAGTGTGTTTCTACCTTATTCCTTAGTGGCTGTGGTTGTAAATAGCAGATTGAAATAAACTCCATCTGAAGTTTTGACGATGAGTGTCACAACTTTGAACATTTTATTCAATGTGCCAGGGAGGGAAAAACTTTTCTTCTCCTCTCTTAGGTTCTGTGTCTGGGGCCATGTGAATAAAACTAACAAAAGACAGATTAATAGGAGAAAAGGCACACAATTTTCATTAATATTTACATGCCTGAGAGTTCACAGAAAACAAATGACACTCAAAGAAGCAGTTAGACTCAGTGGGTTTTATACCATTTTAACAAAGGACAAAGGGTAGGAGCTTCAAGGGGTGATAAATTGTGGGGAAGTGACTAGGAAATATACGGGGCAACCAATGGAAAATAAGGGCTGTTTTTATTTTAGTACGGTCTGTTTATGCAGACTCACCTCAGTGTTGACAACTCCTTGTCTTCTTTGACTCCTCTCTCCCTGGTGGGGGAAGGAGTATCTTCCTCAAAGAGAAACTCAGGCTCTGCTTTCAGGTACACAGGGGAGAGCAGAGAACTCTTTATCTATTCATTCTCAGTGGCCTTCAGCTCAAAATAATCCTTATGCCAAAGTGGTATATTTTGGGGTGGCATATTCTGATCTCCTTCAAATGGGAAACAAATGTAAATTTGAGAATGTGAATTATGTACTTTTTACAAGTCCTATTGATAAGAAACAGCTGCTTCCTCGTTAAAGAAATCTGTTTTTTAATGTTTTCTGACCTGGTACGCGTACTCTTCCATTCTGTAATTCCATTTCATTTAATTCTTTTAAAGTTATCAAAAGTAATATGACTATATAAAGTATATTTACAAAAAAGGAGGGGACACAAGTCATCCATAATCCTACTGTCCTTCTAAAAGCTATGTTTTTGCATCTCTTGCAGCGTTATCCATGCATCTCTCTTTTATATAGTTTCAGGGATATGGGGCACACCTGTGGTATGTAACGTCTTCAGCTTCACATGATATCACATTCTCCATGTTCTTGCTTACTCACAGTCCTCATTATTTAGCAGCTGCAAAGTTCGCCTAACCATTCTCCAGGCGTCAGGAGTCTGGACTGCCCCCAGGCCAGTGGTGGGACAGGTTGCACCTCTAGCCCAAGGAGGGCAGGGCAGAGTTGGCCCCTTCTGGCCAAGTGGAAGCTGGGCCTGCTAGAGGAGCCGCAAGCGGTTCAGAGGTCAAGTCTCATGCTTGACCTCCTGCTAAACTGAGGTCAGGCCAACCAGGACTTGTAGCTCCAGGCTCCCTTCTTCCCAGGCTTAAGGTGGTGCAGCCCCGCCCTGTGGGCGGCCCAGGCCAAAGCTCCATCTCCTTCCTGAGCCCTCCCCACGCCAGGCCTGCCCGGGGTGGATGCCCTCCAGCCCCTGTCTCCTTCTGTCCTAGCAATCCACGGACCCACCGCGTGCAAAGAAAAGGGCTAGGCCGCACGTCCTGGGCGTCATGGTCCACCTGCGGGCTTCCGAAGTGCGGCAGCTGCTCCACAACAAGTTCGTGGTCATCCTGGGGGACTCTGTCCACAGGGCCGTGTACAAGGACCTGGTGCTCCTGCTGCAGAAGGACTGCCTGCTCACGCCCAGCCAGCTCAAGGCCAAGGGGGAGGAGAGCTTCGAACAGGACATTCTCTTGGAGGGAGGCCAGCTGGGCCCCATGCACAACGGCATCGAGTACCGCGAGGTCCGCCAGTTCTGCTCCGGCCACCATCTGGTGCGCTTCTACTTCCTCACGCGCGTGTACTCCGACTACCTCAAGGCCATCTTGCAACAGCTGCAGTCGGGCGAGCACTTCCCAGACGTGATCATCATGAACTCCTGCCTCTGGGACATCTCCAGGTACGGTGAGCACTCGTGGTCGAGCTACCTGGAGAACCTGACGAGGCTGTTTGGGCACCTGGGCCAGATGCTGCCCGAGTCGTGCCTCATGGTGTGGAACACAGCCATGCCGCTTGGCGACAAACTCTCCGCCGGCTTTCTCCCGCCCGAGCCCCAACCCTGGACCAACGCCCTGAAATTCAGGGTGGTCGAAGCCAATTTCTACAGCTCTGTGGAGGCCAAGAACCACGGCTTCGACGTGCTGGACTTGCATTTCCACTTCCGCCGTGCGCAGCAGCATCACCTGCAGCGAGACGGGGTGCACTGGGACGAGTATGCGCACCGACAGCTCTCCCAGCTGCTGCTGGCCCACGTGGCCGACGCCTGGGGGGTGGAGCTGCCCCAACGCGACCCAGTGGGCAGGTGGATCAAGGACGGCCCTGCAAGAGGAGAGCGTGGCCAGGGAGCTGAGAGGCAGCCCCTGGCCCGCAGAGGTCAACGGACCTTATCTCTGCCTGGACCCTTGCCTCCTCGCACGTGCTACCCCCTGCTCCCGCTCCCATCTCCTCGCCCACCCCTGCTCCCACTCCTGCCCCGACAGCCTCCTCCCATCCGCTTTCACCAACCCATGCCCCAGTTTCTCCTCTGTCCCCAAGATGCCTGTTTGTCCTCAGACCGTCCGGATCAATTCTCCTTAAGCCATTTCCATTCAGATGGCCCCTTCGAAACTGACTTTATGTTAGGTCCCCAGCCACCTGTGCCGCCTTTCCCCACACCCCGTTATCATCGGCAGCGGGCCCCTGTGGTTCATAGGGGGTTTCCCCAGTATTCGCCCCGTGGCCCGTATGGGCCCTGGAGGCAGCCCAGACCTTTCAGGAGAAGGGCCCCAGCCCACCCAAAGCCAAGGTTTCAATAGACTGACTTGGGCCTTTTTCCTCCTCACACTCACGCACTGGATGGATCATCTGACTTCCCCTAAGCAGACCGCCCTTGTTAACTGAAGCCTTTGGTCTAAGCCTTTGCTTGGACTCCTTGTTGTGCATTGCTGTTATCCATGATGGCAGGAAGAGCAGCCTGACCCATTGTTGTTGGCTTATGTCCTCTTCCTCTGCTCTCTGGGGCTTAGCAAGCATTATTCCTGCCTCCCCACTCCCTAATCTCTTTGTCTTTTTGTAAACATAAAACTGAAAGAAAGCAATTGTTTCTCAAAAGCAGTTGTGTGTGTTTCCATATTGGTGCCTTTCCCTTTTATTAAACAATTAGCTTCATAAGAGCAAAGACAGTATCTGCTGAATAGTTACGGCATCTACTTGATAAACTCCTCAAAATGGAATTTCTCTAAAAGATTCCGAAGGTTTCCATAAAATGGACCTGATTCCTTACAAATAAGTGAAAGAACTTTAACTTTTTTGTAATCATATTTTCCAGAGATTCTCGAAGAATCATGGAATTTTAGAACTGGGAAAACTAAAGACATAAAATTTAATTAACATTTACAAACAAGGATACTAAGGCCAAGAGAGGTGAGTAACGTTTTTGAGGTCACACAGAACATCACTCCTCCACTAGTCTTTCCTAGTTTATACTAGTTTATATTAACTTTTAAACCACAGGCCTGATTCATACCACAGCAAACCAAGAAGGGAAGTTTACTAAACATGGACTTTCTATGGAAGTGATGGCAAAAAACTCCTATAGCTTCATAACCGGAAGTTTATTGGTTAGATGTGCAATGAATTATGTACGTAAGTTAGAGTGATGGCATGCTTGTGGCTTCACGATTTCTTCAATAGTCCTGAGTTTTGGTTTTGAGAAAATTAGAAAAAAGTAAGTTGTACCAGTGACAATGTGAGTTGGAAGGGAACACCCAGGGCACAGACCCCTCCCATGCAAATCTGACCGATGACCGTGGCCATCTCTTCTCTGCTTTGTAGGAAGATTAACATCACTGTGATTGTTTAAATGTTAGGCCCTTTGCCACACTAGACTAGTGAAATGTTAATACTTAGATAAAATAGTCAAAATAGGATGTGACTAAAACTGTCCAAATAGGATTTTTCATTGAATTGATTTGACTGGTTTATAGGGCCTTAATTGGACTTTCCTTGAACTTGACAACAAGGGTAAGGAAAGGTTATCCTGTAAAAATGAAGTTCCTGAAATCACAAGAGATGGATGAGAGCAGCTATTTACAGAAGAAATACACAGCAGCTGTTGACCCACTAGAAATCCGTGAGATTCATGGAGAATAGAGCCTTTATCTTTCTTATCATTGTGTATGAAAACCTAGCACGTCTGGCACTTAGTAAGTACTCAGTAATGTTTCTTGGATGAATCAGTGAGTGAAGGAAGAGGAGGCCTGTAAATGTGTTCCTGGGGAGGCTGGAACCCAAGTCTCTAAGGAGATGATAGAAATTGACGTTTAATCCTTGTCGCGGATCTGAAGGAATATTGCCAAGACAGCATGATGGTGACCTTCGAGGACTCAGGAAAGACAGTGCCTACAAGTCAGAATTTGCCAGAATGTCCCAGCATAGTCAGGAGAGAGGGCACCTGTCTGACCAATGTAAATATTCTAATCCCATGGAGATTAGTGCGCCAGCTGTGAGACTGAGTAAGATCAGCCCACGGGATGAGCCAGTTGCCTTCATTCTGGCTTTATGTTTCCCAAGCAAGTTCAGGCAGCATTTAGCTGCTGATCTGACTAAGATGACACATTTAGTGTTTATTTTCATGAATAAACCAATAAATTGGTGTTGTGGTTTATATCTCTCTTGTGAGTTAGGTTAGTATGTACTAATCCTTTTAATCTGATCACACCCAATGAACCAAGGAGAATGCGTTCTTAGATATACCGTGCTGAGGACCAGACACTGAATCACTGGTGAATCCACTATATTATGGATTAAATTCCACTAATCATTTAATAGCCCTGTTTCTCTCGAACGAGTTGGAGTGCAAGTAGGTCAGACAGGGACCATCTTCTTCCTAGGTATATTAATGTCCTACAGCTGCTGTAACAAATATCACCAACTTGATGACTTAAAACAACACATATTTATTCTCTTACAGTTCTGGAGCTCAAAAAGTCCAAAATCCATTAGCCCAGAATAAAATCCTTACTGCTGTCCTACATGATCAGGCTTCTGCCTGCCCCTGCAATGTTATCTTCTGGAACTCTCTTCATTGCTCTTGATGCTTTCAACCATGCAAGACTTCTTTCTTTTCATATGACATGTCAAACTCTTATAGCTTGAGTCTTTGCACTTGCCATTCTCCTTGCTGGAATGTTCCACATCCCCTACCCCTAGTTCTTTGGATATCTAACTTCATCCTTTCATCTTCACCTTCCAAGTCACCTCCTAAGAGGCCTTCCATGACCCTTTGATCTAGGAGTACTGTTACGGTCCATCACAGGGCTCTATTTCCTTGTAGTGCTCACCCCACTCAGCAGTGGCATCAATAGTTTCTTGTTCGTTAGCTTCTCTAACTAGAAAGCACACACCAGAAGTCTTGTTCAGTATTGAATTCCCAGTGCCTACCAGCACCTGCCTGCACAGAAGGTGTTCAAGTATATCTACTTTAGTTAAATGTTCAAGAACATAATTAATTCACATTGTGTACTTAAGAATGCATTTGTATTAAAGTTGGCTGTATTTGATCACTTTTCTTCAGCAAATGTCTACAGCACTCTCTCACAACTTTCTCTACGTCATCCTGGGTGGCTGAGACCTCCTCAACCTCCCCACCCCCACTTGTGGGTAAGAACCTGGTAGCACCTTCACCGGGGGCTAGCAGTGAATTTCGTACATATTTTAGCCTTTATCTTTCAGCCGAGAGCTTTCTTCTTTGCCCATTTTTGCTTTTGTCACCTTGCTCCTTAGGTCAAGAAACTATCAATGCAATCAAGCTATTGTCTGGTAAAAAAAGCCAAAATTATTCAATGTTTATGAGACAAATGATTGCTCTATTGTTAAGACTTAGAATGCAGGGTTCATTTGGCCTCAAGAAGTGACAGCACTCAAAGCTTTTCATACTTGACTCTTGTCTCAAGTTTTCTGGAAAAAAGAAAAAAAAAGAGTAAAATCAAGATTAAATGAACATTATCCAAGCAGCATGCATTTCTCACAAGATTCTATAGTACGGTATACTGTGTTATACCAAAGGCCAGAACATTAAAGCTGTAACTATGTTTTTCCATAAGCACAAGCAAAGCAGGGCCCAGCATTTGAAAACAAGTGGAATCTTACATCCTGCCATAGGATCAAGGTCAAGGCCCTCTCTGCTGCCAGCCGCAGAGCTCTTGTTTCCAGGGCCCTGTATTGCATGACTCCTGGAGGCAGCATTCCTGTTAAATTCTGGACTGGTACACGGTGGCAGCTCCATCTCTGAAAGCTTTATGTTCATCAATCTGCAAAGGTGAGTTATTTTGAAAACATAGATCATTAAGACTCATATCAGAGAATGGATTTGCCATTGTTTTAAACTATTGTGTTTTTGTTTCTGTAAACTCTAGAGACAGTATTCTCATTCCCCCAACTTCAAGAAAGGCCTCTATCCCTGCATGCTTAATTTATAGATGTAATTTTTCACAAGACTACCCATTAATCTTTAAAGAAACAATTTCTAGAACACGTCCCTTTGAGCCATAATCTTTATTTGTCATTCATTCTATGGGCAAGGATGCTTACAGAAGGATTCATTCTGGTATTGCCCCATGTGGAAATTCACAATGACTTTTAATGGATGAGAGGCTTTGAGAATTTCTGCAAGAAATGAACTTGATTAAATGTGGTTAACCTAGTAGTTTCCAGGTTTATTTAACCTCTGACTATTTTCATATTTAGCATCTTTTAAAAACATATTTTGGGAAATATTATTCTAAAGAATGTCAGATAAAATAATTGGGGTAAGTGAAAAGGTTTGTTAGTGACATTTTATAAATGAAGCTGTTTATTAATGGAGCACTAAAATAATCTGTGCCCCAAAATGTGAGCTAATATTCGTTAGATAATTTGGGGACAAGCCTGAGATTTGCTAGTTAACCGAAGTGGAGTGAAATGGACCAGCAATGATTGCCTGCTTCTTCCTCTAACATGGGGGAGGCACTGGGATGGTGTGTCCAGTCCAGCCCACAGAGCATAGTGTGCAGTGGAGGTATTCTACTCCAGGTGTTTGCATCCTGGCCCAGGGTCACAGAATATCCCAAGACACAGCCGCGCGGAGCACAGTAACGGGGAGTAGAGAATAAACAGCGTTCGAAACTGAGCAGATAGTCACTCAACAGAGCAGCCTCTGTCAACACTTAAGAACATTGTTAGGAGCAAGGACTCAAATCTGTAGGAAAGGGCCCATCTTAGAAGAATGAGAGGACCTGCAGGAGCTGCTATGGCAGAGCCAGATGCCCCCTCCTGAAAAAGAGACACTACCAGGCCATGTGGTCTGTGACATCTAATCTGGGCTCTAGACAGGTGCCCTCCGTTATGCTGCAATGATGCCACTCAGACTCTGCTGACATCTGGCCTACTGAGCTTGGCTTCTTATCTCACTTCTCACTCCTGTGTCTACACAGCACAGACTGATTTTTGGCAAGTAGTCTTTGATCTTATATTTCATCTCGGTAATTCAGTCACACTGCCAGATTGATCCTTTTCCTACCATCCTCTCTTCCCTAACTGCACAGCGCCCTAAGGCAGTGGTTCTCAAACTTTCTTGAGAGTGCATCAGAATATCCTGGTGGGCTTGTTAAAACCCCACTGCTGCTATCTCCCCTCAGAGTTTCTGATTCAGTCAGTCCAGAGTGGGGCCCTAGAATTTGCATTTCCAGTTAAGTTTCACACTTTGAAAACTGCCAAAGAAATAAAAATATAAAAAGAATCATGTAATCCCACTCATGTAGCCATAACCTAAATTTATAACCATTGTTAACATTTTGCCATATTTTCTTTATCTTTTTTCTAAAGTATTTTAAAGTAAATTACTTCATAATGTTCTATCCCTAAATATTTCATATGTAGGAAACAAGGACATTTTCCTACATAAGCACAAGACAAGCATCACATCTAACAAAACTGACAATAACTTGCTGACATCATCTGATACTGTTGTGGACTGAATGTTTGTGTCCCCCCAAACTTCATATGGGGGGACCCTATCCCATAATGTGATGGTATTAGGAGGTGAGGCTTTGGGGAGATAATTCGGATTAGATGAGGTTACGAGCATGGAGCCTTCATGAATGGGATTAGAGCCCTTATGAGAGTCTTATAAGGGTCACGAGACAAGCTGGCTTCTTCTTCTTTTTTTTTTTTTGGTGAGGACGACTGTCCATGAGCTAACATTTGTTGTCAATCTTCCTCTATTTTTTGTATCTGGGATGCTGCCACAGCATGGCCTGATGAGCAGTGTATAAGTCCGTGTCAGGGATCTGAACCTGTGAACCCTGGGCCGCCAGAGCGGAGCCTGCACATTTAACCACTATGCCACCGGACCGCCCCGAGAGCTTGCTTCTTTCTGCTCTCTGCCATGTGAGGATACAATGAGAGATGGGAGAAAACAGGGCCCTCGCCGGAATCAGACTACACTAACACCCTGGTCTCCGATGCCCAGCCTCCAGAACTGTGAGAAATAAATTTCTATTGTTTATAAGCCACTCAGTCTATGGTACTTTGCTGTCGCAGCCCAAATTGACTAAGACAGATACTCAATCCCAAAAATGGGTTCTACAGCTTTCAAATTGGGCTCCACTGAAGAACCACACATTGCATTGGTTATTGTGTCTGTGAATCTCTTTTAATCTAGAAGAGAACCCAAAACACACCTTTCTTTCTTTCATGACATTGACTCGAAAAGATTTGTCCTGTAGAATGTTCCACTTTCTAAGTTTCTAATGATTTCTGCATGATGACATTTAACTTTTATTTCATCCTCTGTATTGCCTATAGAGGGAATGTTAGCTCCAAAGGTTTGACTGGATGTAAGTTAGACATTTTTGGTAAAATACTTCACAGGCAAGGTGGTGCCCTTCACATTGTACCACAACAGGAGGCATATAAGCTGGTTTCCCAGTATTTATAAAATTGATCGCCAAGTCAAGGGTGACAGTTGGAAGCCCACATTTTAAAATTGTGTTTTCCCACTCACTGCCAGCAAGGATCCTGTGAATGATGCATTGGTACCTTGTCAATATTGCAGCTCCTCATCAATTTTTTCACTTAATGGTATTAGCATCTGCTGATGATTCTTGCTTAAAATTGTGTGATTTCATTAGAGGTAGAAAAATGGTGATTTTCTGATTTTACCATTCCTTGTACATTTCTCAAATGACGTTCTTTTGTAAAGAAGAGGATTTTTTTTTTCATCTATAGGAGCTTTTTGGTTACTCTGAGATACCCTTCCTACAGAAAACTCTGGTCACCACGACATATGACAATGAGTACAACTAGGCTCTACTCTCAGACCTCCCACCCCCCTGCCAATCAGCTGGGGTTCTACTGACAAGGACCCAGGCACAGGGAAGAAGATGTGACACTGATAATCTGAAATGTGGTTCTAGATAGAAGCCAGGTCTTTCAAACAAGCCAGGTCTTTGGAATAACCCAAGAGCCCTGCTTTCAAAGTTGGGAAATAAGCTCCGAGCCACGCCATCAGCACAGACACAGACCAGGTGGAGATGAACTTGCAAACAGAGGACAGGAGGCCTTGGTTTTCCAGATCCGGAGGAGGCAAAGTCTTGGAATTAGGGAAGACTCTATAAAACCAACCCAATGGGCCAGTTAATGAATGGACATCGAAAATGGAGAAAAACTCCTTTGCGCATGAAGTCATCTTCATTTTGGGATTATATCTTTCCTAATTGACCCGTAAATAAGTGATTACACATCAAAGTGAGGGTATTTATGTAGCTATGTCAATGGCAAATGCTATACTGGTCTCCTAGTTTATTGGCAAATGCATATTAACTCAATAAAAAATGTTTATTAGGCAATACATTAAATTTTCATAGCTAGAGATCAAATTTAGACAAGAAAGCCATATTATATAAGATTATTCAAGAAAATTGGGTGAATTAACTTGTTAAGTCATTCCTTAATACCACATTCTCAAACTTTCCCACTGAAACTTTTTCCTTTTTTGAGGAAGATTAGCCCTGAGCTAACTGCTGCCAATCCTCCTCTTTTTGCTGAGGAAGACTGGCCCTGAGCTAACATCCGTGCCCATCTTCCTCTATGTTATATGTGGGATGCCTACCACAGCATGGTGTGCCAAGCAGTGCCATGTCCACACCCGGGATCCAAACCGGGGAACCCTGGGCTGTTGAAGTGGAACCTTCGCACTTAACCGCTGCACCACTGGGCAGACCCCCCCCGAAACATTTCTAATGGTGGAGGAAACTGGACCTCTACCTATGGGAGGTCTGCCTGCAGCAGCAGACCACAAAAACTAAATTTATTTCATGCCTCATCTTAAAATACTAACTGAAATTCTGTGCTCAACTCTGTACAGCATCGTTATTTGTTTTATAAAAAAAATAGTAATGCTCTTTAAAACATTGAGTAAAATCGGTGCTACAAAAATACAGTGGGATTCGGGATCCTAATCCTTAAAATAGAAGGATGATAGCACCTACATCATAGGATTATTATGGATGGACATCAACTCAGCTAATATTTATAAAGCCCTTACAATTGTGATTGGCACATAGTTGGCACTATAAAAATATTCGTTAAAAGGAATTAAAGATTTGTTCCAAGTTTGTTCTATTGCTTTAGCTACCACCATATAATTGCTTCCAGGGTATTCGTAACCCATTTGAGTGTGATTTTAATATCTAAGAACAAAATTATGGTTAGATGCCGGGAGCCGTGTTACCAACGCCTATACAGCCATCTGACAGGGTCCGGGCTGAGAAGGGCTGAGGGGCGCAGGGACGCCCCTGGGTGAAGAATGGCCGGCCGACACCCCTGATATTTTCTGAAATGTACGCATGCTTTCTATCAAGGTTATGACCATACTTGTTTCTGCTTTCTATACTTTAACTTAGCTTTTCAGCCTGATGCCTTACTAGCAAAATGATATTTTCTCCGGGCAGTGTGCTCAAGGGACAAATAGTCCTACCCCCTGAGAGACAAAGGAATGCTTTCACCCCCTAAGGGGCGCGGGAATGTAAAGATTTTTAACTACCCGCTGAGAACGCACGTAGTCCTGGGGATAAGATACCCGGGAGTTGCTTTTTGGTCACTTTAACCCTCTGAACAATGACTAGATGATCGATGGGGGCAGGGGTAGCTCTCTCAGGACGTGAACAGACGGAATGGTGTCCTGTCCGGATATCTGGACCTTCTCTCCAGCTTTGATCTAACTTTACCATAAATTACTTTTGTTTCTGAACCCATAAATCTATACATGAAGAATAGAAGATTCAAATAGATCCCATCCCTGACGTCAATGTATATTCGTCCCAAAATAGTAGAGGAAGTCATTTCTATACCCTTTAAAGTTTAGAAGTTAAATTGAAACATATTCTACTACAACAGATGTTAAACTACCTATCTCCTTTAGTTTAGAGACAATAAATAATAGTTAATTGTGGAAAAGACGATCATTAACCTTATGCTCTATAGAATGAAATGCTAAAAAAAATTCTTGTGCCCGCTTTGTACTTCCTTATCTCTCTGAGAACATTTGTAGAGCTATTTCTGTACTAATCCTGAAAAATATATAAACGACACTTGTGCACAGCAACGAGAGACTTGATTGCACCGACTCAAGTCTCACGTCTCTTCCTTCACTGCGCCGACTCCCTGCCTCCCTTAGGAACCTGGACTTGCTGGAGCAGGACTGACTCCGGCAGTTGGAGAGGGAGAAAAAGGAGAATGTGGTTGTTCATTTGGGCTAAGTTAGAAAAGAGATCAAGGCAAGGAGGGAAATGGACCTGAAGCCGTGGAGCTGGCAGAGGGCAGTGGAGTAACGGGCAGGTTGGTGGTGCCGCCATTTAGCAAGCATTTCAGAGCACCTGCCACAGGCCGGGTGCCAGGCACTCAGGACCCAGGAAACTATCAATGGTTGTTGAGATGCTGTGCAGTGTTTCTGAGTCCACGTCCATCGGAATCACCTAAGGGGTTTGTTAAAAATGCAGAGTGTGTGGCCCCACCCTGGATACACACAATCAGAATACCTGGGGGGAAACTCCATTTCCTTCTGTAACTAGAATGTAAAAAAGCATTGTAAGGGATATTGCTCAGGGTAAATGCCATTTTCTCCTTACAAAATAAACTTAAAAAAATAATGTTTAAAAATCTAACCTGCTCGCCATGTTAAAATAACCTAGAATTTTTGGCTGGATGACAATTTAGCAGTCATCTAGTCCAGCTATTCCTACCTCTGGTGGCACGTCATAGTAACCTAGGGAGTTTTAAAAAAAATACCACTATAGAGGCTCCACTCCAAAACAGTTAAATCAAATTCTGGGGCAAAACCTGGACTCTCTAAATATTTCTAAATGTTTAAAACTCTCTAAATATTTCTAACTTGCAGCCAGGATTAAGAATCACAAATCTGGTCCAACCTCCCCATTTTGCAGATGAGAAAACTGAGGACTCAGAAATTAAATAACTTGCCTAAGATGGCAGAGTTCTCTTCAGAAAGGCAATTGTGTGAGAGGGACTACCTGTGCACTGGTCCGGTGTTTTTCAAAATAAAGGTAATGACTTATTAGCGAATTGTGAAAACAATCTAGGGCTTCCTGAGCAAAATTTTTTAAAAAATGAAATAGAGTAGAAGATATTGATGAGGGTTATTTTAGGTTGGTTACTGTTTAAAACTGCAGATGAGCAGGAGGCTCCGAGGAGTGGAATTTGCTTGCCCTTTGATGAGACATTTGCATTTGTGAAGGAAGTCTCCATCTCTGGGAGTGTCTCCCTCTCTGCCCCTGGAGGAAGGCAGGATGGCCTTATCTCTAGAAACTCTTAATGGGGAAGGCAAGGACTTACGTCTTGTTTGTTGTGCTTTTCTGGTAACCTCATGTAGCTGTCTCCCCCCACCACCAACATCCTCCTTTGTCTTTAGTTGAAGATAGTATTTAAGATGGTGGCTTCTGCCATTTACTTAATCTGGTTTGATTCTTATCTAAAAGTTATAAGATCACCCAATAACCAGACCCCACCTGCGCTGATACCATTTTACCAACTTTTTTTACATATTCGTTCCTTTGTCTTGTAAAGAGATAACTCACATACCTATGCCTTAAATTTAGCCCTACTCTCAACCCATGTTTGCTGCAGGAGCAGCAGCTCTGACTGCCCATGGGTCTTGTCCCCATGCCAGCAGCAGCAGCTCTGGCTGCCCACGGGTCCTGTCCCCATGCTATTCCACACTATCCTCTAACTAAAAGAGCACTACTGCCAGACCTTGAGAGTCCAAGAAATCTTTCTTTCAACTCTTTGGCTCGCCAACCCCACATCAGATATCAGAGGACATATCAAGTAGTAATGATATTATTTCATGGTGTGTGTGTGTGTGCATGTTCTGTGACCAAATGGTAAACATGATTCTTCATATGGATTGTTGTCCAAAATTTGAAAAGTCCTGCTCTGGAGTCCCTTAGAATTCTAATATCTAAGGTTAGAAGCTGACAGCTGTGTACAAGAGGGATGTAGCTGCCTCCTCTCTCTGGTAAGTAGCCCACAGAGTGGGTGGGATGGCACTGAAGTCAAAAACATGGGCTTAGGGATGCAAAGACCTTGGGGTAAATTGAGTCTATGCCCCTTATTGGTGATGAGATCTTGTGCAAGAACCTAAACTCTGTAGAGCTCAGCTACCTAAACTTTAAAATGAAAATAATTATGTTCACCCCACAGGACTGTTAGTTTTAAATGGCAGAGAATCTATAAAGCACTTAGCATAATGTCTAGCATGTAGTAAACAGCCAGTAAATACTAATAATTAAAGATGCTTCCGTGATCTATCATTTCCTGAGTCTGAGAAGAAAAGAACTAAAAACGTACCAGAGTTAGAATAATCTTTGGAGGGATGTGCATTCTTGGATCTAATGTTTATTTCAGAAGGACAAAAGCTAAAAAATAGCTAAAGTTATTTCTTTAATAGGCAAAATATTAACAACAACAATTTTGTATTTTCACAGAACTGGAAATTATGGTGCCAGAGAGATGCCTGCTTATCTTGGAGACAAAATCGTCAATTTTTTTTTTTTAAAGAATGGCCTTGTCTTGCACATGTACAAGCCAAATGTGCCATCAGCCATCGGATGTTGTGGCTTGTTTAATTTCATTCTTGTTTTCCTTCTAGAAAGAAAGATATTGATCAACATCTGTATGAGAAAAAATGTTTTTCATTCTTTTCAGGTGGCTGGATCCCAAATAAAATGAAAAACTAGGCTGTTGGCTCAAGACCTCCTTACTATTGCTCATGGACCTCACATTCCTCTTTATTAGATCCTTTGCATGAACCTAGAGGTGTCTCAGGTACAGCTCTCCACTTTTAATACCCATCTCTTCAATCAAGGAATAAACTCCCCCATACTAATCCATTCTTCAACCATCGTTTTGTGAAATGACAAATGACAACAGCTCACGCTGTTCCTAAAGCATAGAAGTGCCTGGGATGCTTAACAGTTGTGTGTCAGCTGGTGAAAAACTTTAGTTTTCTTTTTTCTCGTATTTCTGTGAGGACGTATTTTTGTTCTATAAGGTTATTTGCATATATGCATATACATATAGACACAGATACATATACGTATGTACTCACATGCTTATATGTACATGTACACAGATCTAAAGGGCTACGATTATATGTTAAGTTCATAGGACATAAACGTATTGAGCTAGGCATCGTAGAAGATTTAGAGATGAATCAAACACTAGCCGTGTCGTCAAGGAACTTCGTATCCGGTAGAGCAGATATGGAATGTGCACAAATAACTCTAGTCCGGGAGAGACTGTAGTGAGTGCCAGAAGAAAGAGCTCCAGCACCGCAGGAGCTCAAAGGAGGGAGAAACTGCATCGTCCAACAGATGCAGGAATGATGGAGCCTGCGGGAGAGGAGCCATCTGAGGTGCTACATCCTGAAAGATGGAAAGATTTGCCTCTGCTGATGTGAGATGCCATGATGTCCTAATGAGGGAGAGCATAAACAAAGACCCAGAAGTAGGTAGAAAAGCATGCCCAGGGACCATTGAGGAGGTCACTTGGGCGAGAGCGCAGTGCCCATAAGGGGAGTAGAGGTCAATAATTTGGGGAAAGAGGTTATAAAGTAGTTTTCTTGCCTACTGTAACAAATTGCCACAACCTAGTGGTTTAAAATAATACAAGTATATTATCTTAGAATTCTGGAGGAGGAGGAAGGAAGTCTAAAATGGGTCTCATGGGGCTAAAGGCAAGGTGTCAGCAGGGCCCCATTCTTTGCAGGAAGCTTTAAAAGAGAATCCATTTTCTTGCCTGTTCCAGCTAGAATTTGTTCACGTTCCTTGGCTCCTGGCCCCTTCCATCTTCAAAGCCAGTGAGTCTTTCTCATATCATATCCAATCACATCACTTGGACACTTAGTCTTCCGCCTCCCACTTCCACATCTAAGGACCCTTGGGATTACACTGGGCCCACCTGGGTCATCCAGGATACTCTCCTCAAAATCAGCTGATTAGTAACCATTTGCAACATTAATTCCCCTTTGTCATTAAACTTAACATATTCACATGTTCTGGGGGATAGGACCTGGACATCTTTGAGGGGCCATTATTCTGCCTAGCATAGGTTGAAGCCAAAGATTTAAGGGTCCTGAAGGTCAAGATTGTTACCCCCCATTCTTGAGGGCTGGGGAGAAAACACAATGCCTGTTGTCAGACTAAAGATGGTTTCAATCCAAATATTGTCTTGCGTTTAGCTGGAATTATAGCAATTCAGTGTGATAACCCAGCTGGTCTCATCCTGATTGGATGTTCTGGTCAGCAGTTACAGATGACTTTCATTAATAAAAATGGGGAAATAAATTAAATATTGATAAATGCAGGTTGGTGTGTTCAGTTTTTCCAAACACAGGACCCAGAGGGAGGTGCAATCATGGAAGAATATCTCAGTGTTGGAAATTTTGGGAACTGCTGCCTTGAAAAATATGCCCTCTGAATACCCCAGTTGGTCCTACCTGTGTATGTAGCATTTTTCTCTATTGTTGATGTATCTCTAGGGTTGCAGGATGAAAAGTTTGGAAAAGATTAAAAAAACAAACTGATTTGGCAAATGCATTTCATCTTCCAACTTATTTATGGTTTAATCAATAATTCATCCCTTAGCATCTGTCTCTTAAAGACTATCTTGTCTGTAGTCTTTATGGATGACAAATTAGGATATTGGAAAAACAAAATACCTTCTTTTTAAAGCACAGCCTCTCCATTGAAATGCCCAAATTTATGGTGTGTAGAGAACAGAAATAAATGACTGAAAGCTGTGCAAGAGGAAGAGGGACAAGATGTCTGACAAGGCAGGAAGTACAAACAAGAGAACAGAAAATTCATCTGGACTTGGGCACAGAGCTGTTCAAATGGCCTTTATTTATGTGCTTAGCCAATTTGAAGATTCTCCCTTTGAAAATATCATTGAAATTAAAATGTTCTACTATGATCTACCGGAGTGTGTTTACATAGCTGTTCATTGCACTGAGCCTGGATTCCTTTCTATTACAGCTGTTTGTGCAGAGTATATTTTTCTCAGATTCACAGTGCTTGCTTTTTTGATTTGAATAAAGAAATGGCAAGGGGCCGGCTCGGTGGTGTAGTGATTAGGTTCAAGCTCTTGGCTTCTACAGCCCGGGGTTCGCCGGTTCAGATCCCAGGCACAGACCTATGTACCACTTATTCTACCCATGCTGTGACAGGCATCCCAAGTATAAAATAGAGGAAGCTGGGCACAGATATTAGCTCAGGGCTAACCTTCCTCAAAAAAAAGAAAAAATAAAAGAAATGGTGAAAAGGCAGAAGAAACTAGTTCTGTGGAGAAACACTGCGTGGCAGGCAGAGGAGTGTCGGACTGGCCTGTGGTGCAGTTTTTCAACACATCCCAGCTAACTTATTGAGCACTTATTATGCGCCAGGTGGTGTGCAGAATTACTGATCCTCACAGCCACTGTATGAGCCCTGCACTATTATTAATCTTATTTCTGTTGAAGAAACTGAGGCTTAGAGAAGTTAATTCACTTGCCAAACCTCACACTATTAGTGAGGAAAGGAGCAAGGAGTCAGTCCCTGGGCTGTCTTTAAAACACAAATCTAATTTCACTCCCCTGCTTTGTAGACATTATCTCTTTAAACCTTACAAACTTGCGGTTCTCCACCCTGGCTTCACGTTAGAATCACCTGGGGACATTATACAAAATCCCATTGCCTGGAATCCACTCAAGGCCACTTAAAAACAATGGTAACACTAGTGAGAGCAAACACTTATATTGGGCTTATTACATGCCAAGCATTTTTCCAAGAGCTGTATACATTCTTATTTAATCCTCGCAGTGACCCTGTGATGAAGATTCCATTAAGTATCCCCAATTTCCAAAGGAAAAAGGTGAGGTTCAGAAAAGGTTAATGTCTCACTCAAAGTCACATGACAAAGCTGGGATTCTGATCCCAGGCAGTCTGGCCTCATAGTCTGTACTCGGAAAACAGAAATCAAGCAAATAAAACAAGCACAGCAAAAACCCTCACTGGTAAGAACCATGCCACCATTTTTTAAAGTGGCAAATAAAGAGAAAGAATTCATCAGATCCTGACTTTATGTGTATAAGCTGTACCTCAGGATAAGTAGTAGGTTGAGAGGAAATCTCTTTTTTTAGGAGAATGTAAACTAATGAAAGAATGAGTGATAGAATTAGAATATTACCATTTTGCAACTCTCAATGAAATAATGAATCTTAGCCATGGTCATCAGTGGATGCAAAGTTCTCAAAAAGAAATGTCCAGATTCTTCCGTGTAGAAGTACACATCACATCTTACGAAGTGTTCTTTTAAGAAAAATCAACTCTCTTCAGGCTTCTAGGATCCAACACCGCTCTGAGATAAAACAGGAGACCAGAGGAACATGTTACATGACATCTTGGGGTTGCAATCAGCAAAATCCAGACTGTGGGGAACTCAGCAGACAAAAGATTTGACTTCCTTCATGTATAAGTTGAGAGAGAGAGAGAGAGAGAACAAGAGAGAGAGAGATGGAACCAATAGATTAAAAGATTCATATAAACTAATTGTAGTGTTTGTATGCATCATATTGGGATCCTGATTTGATCAAATACCTGTAAAAAAATAAAATTGGGGGAAATTTGAACATTGCCTGGATGTTTAATGTCTCTAAGATAATTATTATTTCTTTTTAGTTATTTGATAATTGTGATAATTGTGTCTGGTTATGTTTTTAAAAAGAATATATACCATTTATAGATACAGCCTGAAATATTTATGGGTGAAATGGAAAATATATATAGCAATAATGACTATTTTAAATAGATATTTAAAAATGCGTATTTAAGGCAGATCTGATTTGACTCCTGGCTCTATCCAGCACTGCTTATTAGCTTCCTCAACTACTTAACTAAAATCATAATTCTCAACATCATCATTTTATAAAATACCTTGCATATAATAGAGTTTTTTAAATTTTTTTATTTTTTTTAATTGCAGTAACATTGGGTTATAACAATATATAGCTTTCAGATGTGCATCGTAATACATTTTGAGTTGTGTGTAGATTACATCATGTTCACCACTATAGTGGGTTTTTCATTAATATTTGTTTAAAAATTAATGATAGTGATAACAGATAATGTGGGATTAGAGAGCAACCCAAAGTTCTTTTCTATAGCCCCCTTGACCAAGAAAGTGCTACTTAGAAATAATGAACAAATTCATACAAACTTCTGGAGAGTTGTCATCGTGGCTGAGCCATTCTTGGCTTCATCTTCTGTTGACTTCTCTATCACATTCCCCAGATGGCTGTTCTGAATCTTATCTACTTTTTTCATCCTCTCACATCTTCTCTCAAGAATAAAAGAGACAGGACAAAGTCAATCAAAAGTTCCTCATTCTCCCTTCTGTGCCCTTCAGAAAGTTGCTGAGCTATTTTATTTATTTTTTCATTCATCTACTCATTCATTCTTTCAGAAATGTTTATTAAACTCCTATTTTGTCCACAACTAGGCACTGAACATACAACAGTGACAAGACAGATATAGCTACTTCCCTCTGGATACTTAGAAACCATTTGAACATTTCTTAGTATGCTTCCTTCCTTTCATCCTTTCCTCCTCTCTCTTCCTTTCAAAGCTAATGGCTCCCCTATTCCCTAAGAACTTGAAAAAATCAGTCTAGCCAATGGCAATGAAAAATAAAAAACAAAAACTACAGGCTTAAGAGTTAAAATTGATTTGGGCTCAAGTCATGGTTCTACCACTTAGTAGTTATATGACTTTGAGCAAGTTATTGACCCTCTCTGAGCTTATGTCCTGATCTGCAGAATAAGAATAATGACATCTAATTCATAGTGCTGTGGGAAGATGAGAGATAAATATAGTACAAAGCTGAGTAAAACACCTGGCATTTGGTAGACACTTGGTAATGGTGGTCATCATTATCATCATCACACCATCAATTTTTCCTACTTCACATATATCTTTAATTTTTCTCTCAGTTGTTTCTTCTCTTCTATTCACTATAAGGATGCAGCACATGACACAACCCTGCCCAGAAGATCACAGGGCCACACACAGACCTCTCTTCTCAGTTCCCAAGTAGCCCCCACTGACATTGGAAGAAAGATGTTTCCTTCCTGAACCATCATCAGAACCACACCTTTTCCCATCTCTATTTCTCTCGTGGTTGTGTTTTTCTGTGTCTCATTCAGAGGATAGATACTGATGACAAATGCATACCTATAGGGCTGCTGGGGGCCTCAGGACCACAGAGAAAGAAATCTTGCTTTAACTGGCTCTCATTGCACTCAGTTATCACGCTTGGCTCTTTTTGGTTGCATTGGGAACAGGGATCAGAACATAAAATATAGGACTTTTAACTTTTAACTTTCAAGAAAGTATTTTCAACTGTCCTTTTATCTTCCACTCACACTTTGCCAGCAATCCATAGAACTGTTCTTACTAACCTCACTAGGGGTGAGAGATTTAAGTCCCAGATTGGTTAAACAACTGGCCCAAGGACAGGTAGGATGGTAGTGGCAGAAAGAGTTACTCCACTTTTTCTGGAGTCTGTTACCCAGAGAATTCCCTCTTCCACAATCATATCAAATAACAGGGAGTTTGTTGCCCATAGATAAGAGTCTAAAGGGAGAAATGAAGCAAAATAAGAGGATAAAGAGACTAAAGAGGACGGAATAAAAATTAGCATTTGAGAGAGAAGAGGAAAATAGCTAAATCAGCATTTTTTAGAGAAATGGGCTTGGGTTGCTGCACCAGGCTTGGCTGTCTTCCCTAGCAGAATGTAGTGATCTGTCTGGAGATTCTTTAAAACATCATTCATTCATTCATTCATTCATCATCAATTGTTTGCCTGTTGGGTGCCCGCTACACTGGTGCCGGGCATATGGATACAATAAGGAAGCGAGAGTCCACACGCCAAATCGTTCTATCATTGGAATTTTGCTATAAATGTAAGGAGCTTCAAGTCAGCCTATGGTGCATGCTTCTCCGTAGAATTGTCACAAATGACCTCATTTTATTGCTGAGTCCTAATCTGCTTCTCAGTTTAATTACCTCTTGTCCTGGAATCCTGGCCCCATCATGGGATTCAAACAGAACATGAAGAAATAAGCTGTTTTGTGAGATATTCTTATCTGACTTCATTCCAAAAGTTCACATTTTCTCCACTACATTCATGTGAATTGATCAAAGAGATTTTTGAATAGAGAAACAGCCCAGGGGGTGTTTAGAAGGCAGGACTCTTCACCTTGGGCTCAACTTTTAAAATAGACCTTAACACAAGGTCATGGCTGAGATTCATATGCTTCTGGAGAGTGAAGGTTGGGGATAACCCTCCCCTTGTAGATATATTTGAATCCTTGATTTACATGGGAGCTGAGGAGCCACCCAGGAAGAACACTTGAACCATGTACCCCCCAAGGGGTTTACACACACGTGTGTGTGTGTGTGTTCAAAGCGTACCAGTGGTTCCAAAGCAGCCAGAATACAGGGAGAGTTATGGGGACCCCTGAGGGAGAAAATTTAATGAGGGAGGAAGGTCTGTGGCCTTGGGAGCTTGGGGTGTCAGTGGTTCTAGGAATCAGGAGGAGCCTTATACTAGAAGTCAGTTTTACTGACACCCAAGTACAGCAGGACTCTACTCCCAACAGCAACAACGTGTGGTGGGTTTCCAGCCTCACAAATAGACATTAATTTTGGCCACATCAACTTGGCATTAGGAATAATGTTCTAGCTCGGTGGCACCTCTGTAAACCTGGCGGGTGAGAGACTGTGAAGTCAGGAAGTGAGCAATAAGCAGGGCTGAACCATGGACATATGTGAGCCCAACTGGAGAGTTCCAGAAATCGCTGAGGGGGGGGATCGTTGTCTAATTAGCTAAGCCCAGATGCCCTTGCTTTAGGCCTTTCTCTGTTATTGTAGCATCTAAAAATAACTCACAAATCCTGTTCCAAAATAATTGATGAATAATATTAAGGTCTCTGAAGAAGCTTCAATTAATAACTGTCCTCTTCTCCACCTGGGTTCCGAACAAGCTGAGGAAATAAAACAAAGGTATAGTAAATGGAGATCACCCTCATTACTGCTAGAGACCAAGCTGGAAGATGAGGCTTTTCTTTTCTTTTTCTTTTTTTAAGATTGTCACCTGAGCTAACATCTGTTGCCAATCTTTTCTTCTTCTTCTGCTCCTTCTCCTTCTTTTTCTTCTCCCCAAAGCCCCCCAGTACACAGTTGTGTATTCTAGTTGCAGGTCCTTCCAGTTGTGCTATGTGGGACACCGCCTCAGCATGACCCGATGAGCCACGCTAGGTCCAGACCCAGAATCCAAACCAGCAAAACCCTGGGCCACCAAAGTAGAGCATGTGAACTCAACCACTTGGCCACGGGGCCTGCCCCAAGACTAACCTTTAAGTCTGGTGGTCAAGAAGGCTGAAATTAGGCAGACTTGCCCATAGGCAGGCCCAGGCAAGACGTACAATACAGAAGACTGTGTTTTCTTGAAAGGCTCACTCTGAAAAGGAAGAAGCAGAGCTGATTCCACAGGCCAACGGATTCTTCCAAAATTGCGATCAGATTACTCACTCCAGAGCTCCAGGGGTGGAATAAGTAAGGCAAAGAGAAACAAGGCCTGTGTTTAGGGAAATCCTCATTCTAGAAACCAGGAGAGGAGAAAAGGTGCTTCTCCTCTGTATCAATCAGGATTCTGCTAGGAAAACAAAATTCACAGCAGGGTTATTAAATAGAGGATATTGAACACAGGGAATTAGCTACAAAGGTGTTAGAATTGCTGAAAAGGTAAACTGGGTAGATGAGGAATCCCAGAGATTAGCAACTGAGAAGCCACTACCCACCCTTAGGGCTGGAGGGACACATGAAGAAGATGGTGTTACCTGAGCCCAGGAGTGGGGGCCACTCAGTAGACCCTGGCATCGTAAAGGACTTATTTGGGCAAGAGCTGGAGCCACACAGGAGTTGCAAGTGCTGCTGGATATGCTCCCAAAGCAAAAGAAAAGAGCAATACCCTGGCTTCTCCTTTCCTCCCAACCTCCAGTCTCTACCAGTGCCTACTAGCAAACCTAGTCTGGAGCTAGCGGTCAGGAAAGCCTGGGAATCACAGCTCAGACAGAGCACAGGCAGGGAATGGGTCTGAGAGCAAAGAGGCTCATAGCCAGCACAACCTTTAACAAGGAAGAGTTTTATTAATGTTTTTGTAGACAGATTAAAGAGGAATTCCTGTCACATATCATATACCAAAAGCTTTCTAAATGTCTCTTCACTATTTCTACAAGTTTCTCTCTTACAGCAGCTGCCATGTCTCTCTCCAACTTTTCTTCCCACCTCAGCTCGATGCCTATCCCACTGGCTCTCCTCTTTTCCTCCACACCTCTCTCCAAATCCCTTCCATAAAAGCCTTGTCCCTAAGTTGGGCGGTGCAGTTTACCCCCCCTCACCTTCTCTATGAAAGGTGTCTCTCCTTGGGTCCTCCCTCCGTGACTGTCTAGGGCTTTGAGATTGGGTAAAGAGCATTAATGTAACCAACTCGATCATCACAGTTTGGTTAAGCCCGAGACAGTCACCCAACTAAAGAGAGAGTATTCACCTGCTCAAAATAAGGTCAACAGCAGGAGCTCGATTGCTTACCTTTCCTCTCTCACTTTAGAGCAATTGACCACTTAGTTACCTTGGTTACTACCTGAGTCAAAATGCAGCCCCTACAGCCCCACCTGGCCTCATGAGTGTTTGTTTTGCTTTTAACAGAACTGAAAGGATTTCTGTTTCACTTCTTAGAACCATAGAATTTAAATATCTGTGGTTTAGCTTGTAGACTCTCTGTTGGAGGGTGGTAATCATTGGTATTTCGAGGTGGATGAAAAAAATTAGAATCATGCCTAGGCCATAATAAGAATTTAAAAACTGTGTGAGAAGACACAGAAGGATTATATGATTATATTCGTTTTCTAGGGCATCCATAACAAAGTACCACACATTCGGTGGTTTAAACAACAGAAATTTATTTTCCTACAATTCTAGAGTCTAGAAGTCTGAGATCAAGATGTCACAGGGTTAGTTTCTTCTGAGGCCTCTCCCCTGCATGTGTAGATCATTTGCTCCCTGTGTCTTCCCATGTTTCTTCCCTCTTCATACATCTGTGTCCTAACTTCCTCTTCTTAAAGGGACACTAGTCAAATTGGGTTAGGGCCCACACTAACGACCTCCTCTTAACTTAATTATCTCTTTAGCTTATTTGATTTTTTGTCTAAAGATTGGCATCTGAGCTAACATCTGTTGCCAATCTTCTTTTTTCCCCTTCTTCTTCTCCCCAAAGCCCCCCACTGCACAGTTGTACATTCCAGTTGTAGGCCCTTTTGGTTGTGCTATGTGGAACGCCACCTCAGCATGGCCTGATGAGCTGTGCCATGTCCGCGGCCAGGATCTGAACGGGCTAAACCCTGGGCCACTGAAGCAGAGCGCACGAACTTAACTGCTCAGCCACAGGACCAGCCTCTAATTATCTCTTTAAAGATCTCATCTCCAAATAAGGTCACATTCTTAGGTCAGGGGTTAAGACTTCAACATATGAATTTGGGGGAGAACACAATTCAGCCCATAATCTGAAGTCATACTTCATCTCATGCAATGACCACATTATCGGAACTACAGAGAACACCACAAATATTTACATTAACTTTATTGTTGATAGTGACAGGACCAGGATTAGAATATGGATTTCCTGGCACCTTAATTTCCGTCTGCTGGCTCTTTTAGACTGCCTTTCCAATGTGCTGAGATTACAGCATAAATGTTAGATGATCAGTTTGGGTAGTCGTTTAGGCATGGGTCTGAATCCCAGATCTGCTACCTATTAACTACTTGACCTTGGCCCAGTTCTTTAACATCTCTTGGTTTTGTTTCTCTATGTAATGAGACAATAGCAGTACCCTCCTCACTAAGAGAGATGAGGATTCAATGAGATGATGGATGTTGTCGGGGAGGAAAAATTTTCCTCTGCTGTCTTAGTTCAGTATCCAAGGGCCTGCAAATTAAACTAACAAAAGACAGATTAAAAGGAGAAAAGAAACACAATTTTTATTATTATTTACATGTATAGGAGTTCACAGAAAAGGAGTGAAACTCAAAGAAGCAGTATGACTCAGGAGCTTATATACCGTTTTAACAAAGGAAAGGAGGTTTGGGCTTCAAGGGATGATAAATTGTGAGGAAATGATCAGGAAATATACGGGGGAACTAATGGAAGATACAGGTTATTTTAATAGGGTCTGTTCATGCAGACTCATCTTGGTGTTGACTATCTCTGGAGATTAGAGTTTCTCTTCCCTTCTTGGTGGTGGTGGGGGAAACACCTTCACACAGGGAAATTTATGCCCTGCTTTTAGGCAGACAAGGGCAGAGCAGACAGCTCTTCCTGCATCTGTTGATTCTTGGTTGCCTTCAACTCAAAGTAATCCTTACACCAAAGCAACATATTCTGATCCCCTTCAACGGAAAGTGCTGAGCACCAGCTGTGGTCCCAGTAAGTGCTAGATAATAGTCTATTATTGGAGTAGAATTCATCCCGCCATTGTAGTACTAGAGCCCAGCCATAGCAGCATGGAAAATGGACAAAGCATTTTTTTCTTTCCTCCAGTTTTCTGCCTAGGCTTTTCTACAAACAAGATTTTTCACACTTCAAACATATTTGATCCACCCTGACAGCTCACTCAAGTCTGTCCTCTCCCCTGAACCCCTCTGCCATTGTCCTGGTTCTGATTCGTCTAACGTAGACTGCCCTCTGTCCAGCTCCCATCCACCCTCCCAGATTGTACACCAGAGAAGATGCAGAGCCCTTCATGGACTTCCTACTGCCTTCAGGGTAAGTTCAAGCGCAAAGCCCAGCACTATCTGCTCTGCAACTAACTCTTCAGCCTGAATCCCCTCTCCCCTCAGCTCGCCACTGAACTAATAGCTGTCACTGACTCAGGGCACGTTCTCCCATTTCTGAGCTTTTGAGCTGGGGCATCACCACGTGAAGCTTTTCCCTCCCCCTTACTCACTCAAACGCTGCCTGCTCTTGATACTATTTCTCAGCCGCCCTGCTGCCACCCCCTTCCTGTTCTGGCTGGTTTAGGTGCCCTCTGCACCCCTTCTCCTCTCCTCTATAGAGCTGTAACTGTGCATTTTCTCCTTTGTCTCTGCCTTTAAGTCACGAGGTCTTTGAAGAAGGTACCACATTTAGTTCATCTCAGAATCCCGGTGCCCAGCACAGGCATAAGAGAGTAGACTTTCCTTTAATGCTTAGCGAATGTATGATGTCTTTTAGTCTGTCTGTGGTGGCACGGGAAACCAACAATGATTTAACAACCTTGTCTCCATCTGAAGTTCAGGCCTTCTGTAAAGAATATGTGAGGGGAAGAGGAGGTGACTGGTAGTGATGCTGCAAAAATACATGAGTGAAAGGAACGGTAATAATGTAATGAAATAGCCTTCGTAAATTTCCTTGTGGAAGATATATGTTAATGTCCCAAATGTACGAGCATCTGTGTATCTTTGTGGAGAATATAGAGTGCCTTTTCTAACGCTGAGACACTGGAAATGGGGTTATTTCCCTTCCAAATGAAAACCAATTAAATAAATTATATTTTTTTTCCCTGGGTGCTTACAAAGTGTGGGAGTTGTCACCAAACACTACTAAATGTTCTAATTTAGTCATAAATGGGTTGAAAGAACGTAGCATAATTACTAAGTCCAAAGTAAGTTGTTCTAAATATTTTATCTTGTTCAGCATATGCTGTTAAAAAAAACCCTCAAACTATAATTGTCAACATTCAATTCCAAAAAAGTAAACAACAGCTGAGTATAATGGGATGATAAAGAATTTCTCCATAATTCCCAACATATGGCCAAGAGTATGTCCATTTTGAAGCGGAAGATAATCACGTTTACTAACTGAGCTATTTTCTTTCTTTGAATTCTTCCTATGGGAAAAACATCCCCGAGAAAACTAGAGGCATTTTCCTAAAGCAGACAGGAGGACATGAATAAAAGTTGTCTGGTATAGTTAGATCCCAGGCAGGAGGAATTTAAACTCACTGTTGCGATTGAAAGCAGTGAAGTACAAAAACGTCACATATTTCTGTAAGAGTAGTCATTCTAGTGTGATCATACATGAAATGAGTAAGCATATGCCTCGTAGAAAATTTCCATTTATCAGTTTCAACTTCTGTGAACAAACTCTGATGGGCCCGGCCCATGATAGATCTTGTCATAGTTTGGATTTCATTTTAAAGCATGGACACTTAATCTGTTTCTAGGGAAGGGCATTGGGAAGCTGCTGGAAATTTCTTTTTCTTTGTCAGTTGTTTTGTATATGTGGGTTTTAAGCTCAAAGGCGATCCTTATCAACCATTTATCTCTGGAGCAGAGCACTAGAGGGGAAGGGGGTGTCTGGGTGACGTTCTAACTAGATGCAACTTCAAAGCTACCCTAGAAGAGAAAGGTGGCCCGGATCTCCAAAGACCAGGTTTTGTTTCTTGACAGAGAGAGATAAGGAGCAGGATCCCAGCTTGGGGACAAAGGGCTTCCTGAAGAAATGCTCCTTCCTGAAGACTGTCTCACTGTTTCCCCACATGGATAACAATCTACCTTAAATCACTTTTGGAATGAGCAGCTGAGTTTGGGAGTAAGCATTGAATGAATAAATTAAATTGTTGAACTAATTGGTTAATTAATAACCACACCTAGGTGGAGGGAAATGAACAGGAGGGTTCACTGAGAACACTCTGAGGGGGAAAGGTAGTGCTCTGTGTGGTCCCCTACAGGAGAAATCCAGCAATTTGGAGGCAAAGGACCACTTTCTGAACTTTAGTTTTTAATAATTACTATTGTGACTATGCTTTGCAACTCTTAAACTCCATAAAGCTATACTTATCCCATACTGCTTGTCTCCTTGGGGCACTGTTTTTAAAAATGGTGGCATTATAATTAGTCAGATTAAGCTCTTTGAATACAAATAAAGCCTGCATTTTCACAGAGCTCTTCACCCTGTCTGGCAGTTTATCTGTCCATGAACAATGATGCTGTCTGTATAGAGACTCTGTTGAGCTCAAAAGGCGCACCAGGGAGGAGAGGTGGGTGCCATAGAGACAGTGCAATAAACAGGCACACACACCCTGCTCAGTTGTTCAGAGCTACTCAGAGGAACACAAAACAAAAGAATTCTAAGAGAACAAAGTGACTTCAGGGAAACACTCAGGATGATTTGTGCAAAAAAGATCTGATTCACTGTATAGATTCTTGATGGAAAAGATGGCATTACCATTGCCTGAGACACAGAAAGAAAGAGTGAGGATTCTGGAAGGAAAATGTCCCTATTAATGAGAGGAGAACTTGTATGATTGACGTGCTTGATTGATTTCATTTCTGTCAACATGTGTCAAAAGCTTACGATGTGTTCAGCGCTGTCCTAGAGAAGTTGAGAAAAGTAGGGAGTGAGTTTAAGACCTGGCATGGCTTTAGGCATGCTGGAGTCACATGAAGTCTGCCAAACCTAAGATGGTATGGGATGGATTGCCAAAGGGAACAGAACAGGCCTGTTCTCAGAGAAAAGGAAGAACGATAGGAGCTGAAGTAGCAGATACGTGCCCCGCTACGCTAGCAGGTAGACATTCCGGCTCCTCCTCTTATGAAACACACAGTAATTTCTTAAATGTTTGATGTTGAAGGTGATGATGATGGAAGAAACACGCGTCTTAAAAATGAAATGAAGTGAAATCAAAGAAAATGGTGTGTCTTGGTTCTCAACCCGAGTCGTTGAATCATGAGAAGTCACTGGATTTCATTGAATGCCGCATTCTAATGACACGGGATTCCTGGTACCCATCCTAAAGGCGGTATTCTAGTCATTCTCTTTCTTGAACAATTTTGGAAATTTTGATTCTTCTCCTTTAAGATGTTCCTTTCCATCCATTATCTTGTGGTAGCACTCACCTAAGAACTAAATGTTGAGTTGGGAGATGGTAATTATAGGCCGCGTCTTATTCTCCTGCTTTAACTTGACCTTTTTCTTGATGAAGTGTTTTCTCCCCTTGAGTCCTGGCATTTTGATGCCACCTAGGCAAACTATTTTGGGTTGTGCCTTGCTACGGAGCTTCTCATAGGAAGGGTTTCAATGTGAAAAGTCAATCTGTCATTTCTTTTTTAAGTTAACGTTTTTGCTGATTTAAACAAGTTCTGCCCAACTTTCTAGACAAAGGCACAGAACATATGTATATGTTACGTGGCAGATGACAAGTGCTCCCAGAGAATGTAAATATTTTAGGCTCTAGATTTATCTCTACCTTGTCTGACTTTCCATTAACTGACTGAGAGTCACAGCGATCTGCCTACAGAAGATATATTATTCTTTGCTCAAGTTGGGATTTATAGTGGCTGACATACATTTAGGGAAACATTTGTGTGTGGTAGGAAGAGAGAACGATCTATCAAGTTTTCTCATAGATCTTTGATAAAAGATTTTTCCTCGTTTCATTGTCCTTAAAGAATTGTCGATGCCGTGGTTTGTAGTTTTCCAAGACACATCTTTAAGTTGATGAAATAATTCCACTTGCACTTGTCTTTTATGCCTAAAAAATAATTGTCAGTGCTTGTGGAATGCCCGTGTTTCACATTTCTAATTAGATTATCGAGGATGCTCAATTTTCCAGTCTGTGTTTTCTTTTTGTTTGTTTTGTTTTGAGGGATGGAGGTCAGCAGGGCAAAGAAAACCACTTCTCTGAGATTATTAGAAAATAAGGAATTTAGAGCAAACAGCTCCAGAAAGATTTAAACAGATCCCTTTTCAAAACTTATAGTCTGTAGGTCTGCAGGAAAAAGAGGTCCAAGAAGGGAAAATAGTCAGATTCATTTCTCAGGAAGAACATGTTTGGGTGCCTCCTGAATTTATGATTTTAGGGTAATTTGGTACCATCATAATTGCAACACCATCAGATTTGTTCCTACATAGTAATACTCCAGGTGAGCTCAGCAAGATTTACAGATGTTTGCTGATTCCTACAGCATCCAGAACAACTATTGAGTCCCTCATCCCTAAATGCTTAACGAGCCCTGTCTAGGAGCAAGACACTATGGCACAACGCAGGAGACACTTTTAGATTAATCCTAGTTAGTCCTAGTTAAGATCTAGTTAAGAGAGTTGAGCACTACCCTTACAATATTTATTATACTCTTCAAATATCCAGTATATTTTTGCAAATCCCGAATAAGTGAAACTCGAACTCAGCTTACTGTGATTCCTCACTCTGTACCACAATGTCATCACAAGCGATGTTGTGATCCTCCTAACTTGACAGCACCTTTGCACATAATAGCCACTCAATAAATATTTGTTCATGTCAGGCTGACTGGGTGTAGGTATAAAACAAGTAACACCTACCCCCGCCCCCACTGCCCCGCACAATTGATTGGATTATGGGGGGCTTCTTACCACTTTCTTCTAATGCACTCTCGGTAGATATCAAATGAAATGGGCCCAAACCCTGCCCCCAAATCCACGTTTATAGCTTTGAGCAGATTGACTTTCACTCTTTAAGTGTGTGAGCACAAAACAGTTAAACAGCAGAACCCAGAGAGACAGAAAGCAGACAAACTTAACCACAGCAGCTGCTACTGAAGGGCAATGGTGAATTGGCCTTTATTGTGCAAGACAGGAAGTATCCAGGGAGAAGGAAGGGCATGAACTTGATTGAGTGCTAACTCTGTGTTGGGCACCACTCCAGCTGCTTACATAAACCGTTCTTGGGTCTCCCAGCAATCCTGAGCCATAGGCATTTCAAGGCAGAAAGGACGAGCCTCAGAAGTAGTGAAGTGACTCATGCAA